TTGTAAAGGTTCTTGGTATGCTCTTGAATCTTTGTCTAATATTGGGTATGATACAATTTCATTGGATTGGACTATTGATCCTGCGTATGCCAAGGCTATTACCAAAGGTAAGGTCACACTTCAAGGCAATATGGATCCCACTGTATTGTTTGGAGACCATGAACAAATTAGAACTACTGTTAGAAGGATGCTTGAAGCTTTTGGTACTGGTGAAAAATATATAGTAAACCTTGGTCATGGCATTTTACCCACAAGTGATCCTGAGAATGTCAAAGTATTTTTAGAAGCTGTTCACAAAGTTGGTTTAGAGTTAGACAATAAAACTATAAATTGAAAAGTGTAAATAGAATTCTTTAAATTTTGATTAATAATCATAATTTTTAATTTACCAAATCATATGAATATGAATGAATATGAATGAATAATAAAATTCACCAAAAAAAAAATTTTTTTTTTATCATATGAATAATAATATGAATAATAAAATTGACAAAATTGTAATCGATTTTAAGAATTTAATTTGAATTTGAATATTTGAATTTAATGTTAAGATACAATATATTGTAGTACATAATATTAACGTTAATGATGTTAATCTCCACTTTCTCCAAAAACAAAAAAGGGACTTTTTACATGTCAAGTTGTAATAACGATAAGGATTAAAAGCACATGAAATTATATGAAATTAGGGTATTTTGCATACCGGTACGCAATATTGATCTTACCCAACAAGTTGACATATAGATTAAAAGGTCATTCTGCATATTATCTAAACGAAAAATACAAGTAATTTTTGAAAGAACAATGGAAAGAACAATTGATCTGATTTACTAGTATCGATCGGACCGCAGTGGCGTTTTTCAAAGAAACGAAAAATGGGTCTATTTTTTATCCCTATCAATATAAACCATTTTGCATTAAAGTTATCAATTACACTTTAAATGATGACGAAGATAAAAATAGCACAGAACATTAACTTTATTCCCATTTAAAAATAGTTGATTATGCGTAGTTGATTATAGCGATAGCATATCTAATCACGCGAATTTTTTAAAATTCATGAATTTTTAAAAAACTACAGGTTTTTTTGTAGATTCATGTGAAATTATTTACTTTCCATTTTGTACAAAGTATTACAATAGTAATTCTAATTACATTCCAATCAGGTTTTATTAAAATTATTTTGCACTTACTTGAAAGTATACAGTAACAGGAGAAACAGGAGAAGAATAGCAAAGTACAGAATAAATGCGCATAAGAATATTATAAGAATATTAATATTTAAACATTTTAATTATCGTTTTAATTATTTTAATTTTATTTTATTTTATTTGTCAGGATTTAACTACCATATTAATCACTTTTTACCGAATGAATATGGTAAAATTGAGACGCAGATAAATTAAAGTTCCTTTCATTAAGCTCGAATAAATAGAAAGCAAAAAATTCTTCACGGTATTATTGATGCATCGGGTAGATTAAAAAAAATTTTTTAAATTCTTTTCACAATCATTAGGTAATCTCATTATTTTTTTCACATAGTACAGAAGAACCAAGAGTATGTACAAGAAAATTTTCACATAACGAAATTGCTAGAAAAGATTTTTATTCACAAGATATTATTAACATTTCAGGAAATCAGAGGAAAGATGTGAATGGCCAGTTTCAATTGGTAGTACGGCATAAATAATGCATATAATCGAATCCAATTAAAGTGAAAGTGAAAGGCAATTTACAAAGTCTTACCCTAAAATGAATAACACACATTTTCCAACCGCCCATTTTCACGGTATTTAACATGGTAACATGGGAGCGAAGGAGAGCAATAAATTATTGCTTTCGATGATTTGTTGAAGATGAAGATCAAATAAAGTAATTATGGCTTTGGAAGAATTGTCAAGGGTGAGGATCGTCATACTCTAATAAAGTAATGAGAATGAAATAAGCCTCCAAAATCCTTGTCATTTAAAGATAAATTGATCTGATGATAAACATTAAACGTAATGAGGATCATCTTTATCACCTGCAAAAAATGCAAAACTTTAACTAGAGAATTTTAATATTGAATTATATAATATTGAATTATATAATATTGAATTAATATTGAATTATATTATTGAATTAATATTGAATTATATAATATTGAATTAATATTGAATTATATAATATTGAATTATATAATATTGAATTATATAATATTGAATTATATAATATTGAATTAATATTGAACTAAAGCCAATCATAATACAATCATAATACTAAAATTAAAACTGACACGTGTTTCAAAAAATAGAAATTAGCAACCCATTATATCCATTATTTCATTATTCATTTCTCAAATCTATTGAATTTATCTAGTATAAGGTAAATAATAAGGTATAATATAAGGTATAGGTATAAGTATACTTACGTACGTTTACGTACCTTTATTTATTCACAGTTTAATCATATGTTTAAGAGATTTAATTTGTTTGATTGGATACGGGCACTGACCACCAATATTTCCTTAAAGAAAATTGAGTAACATTTAGTGCATATATACCGTTCTGGTTATTTACTATAGCAATAAAGATTATATATTAAAATATAATATAATATATATAATATGATGTAATCTAATGTACCTAATATAATATATATAATATAATATATTTATATATTATAATACAATAATATAATATAATATAAATATTAATATGTACGACTTAATGTCACATTGCGACAAATAGGTTTTTTCTATTCATATTTACTTATTTACTTGATTTTACTTCTACGTACGTACGTACGTAGTCGCTATCTGTATAACCTTTAATCTCAAAGAATAAAGAATTAATTCAAGAATTAATTCAAGAATTAATTCAAGAATTAAAGATAAAAAAAAAGCTCATACCACCTCTTATTACTTTTTATTGACAGGCTTAAAAAAGCAAGTAATCGTATAAAGAGCCTGCTGAATCATACTAAATGCCACTAATGCCACTAATGCCATATTATAACCTGTTATAAACTTGAAATTTGATATATGTGAAAAATCAATTTTTTTAAGGAGTGATGTGAAAAATATTGAGGAAAGGAAGTAAACAAACATCTATACATGGTTAGATCTTAGACCCAGATGGAATGCACATTCTCTTTCGGTTATCGTTACGAAATTTTCACCGCAGTATTACAAAAAATGGCGAGCCTTACAGGGCTAGGTGTAACCTTACACGGATCTAATCAGAGGGCTTAAAGAAAAGAACTTATCCAACAAAGATTAAAATAGTTACCATGATAAGGAAAAGTTTTTCAATCGCAATTTTGGCGCTCTAGATAAACTTTTTTCTTACGTAGATTCATTAGATTTATTAGAAATAATAATAATAATTACTATGATTTCATCTATTTTATCTCCACAAAGATAAAATGTTCTAGGCGACTTCCTATTTGTAAGTTTTTTAATTAATATAAAGATCGATTACTTAGATCCAAATTACGTTTTTTTGGCGCCAGTGTATATTTTAAAGTCTTGTAAGTTCCTACCTAAATTACTTTAATTGGTAATTAAAATGTTAGTACACAGTAATAATAATTGAAAAATATAAAAATATAATATAAAATATAAAAATATATTGATAAAAATATATTGATATATATGTCAATATATAAATTATACATATATATGTATGTATATTCTTATAATATATTTTATTTCTTTTTCGATTACTCTAAAAACGTGCTTTTGACATTTACAATCAAAGATATTGAATTATATTGAATTATATTGAATTATATTGAATTTCATTTTTTTTTGGAATTAATGACGGTCACAGACCAACATCCCTAAAAATTGAACACATGAACACAAGAAGCTCCTGAAAATTCTTATGAATCATGAGCTACAGTACATAAGTTACATTGTATGTACTTGATAACCGTGCCCGAAACTTGCTCAATTGTCCAATGTTATAATTTCAGCATGATTTCATACTAAATGGGACAAAAAGAAATCAGAAACACATGCGGTTACATTTTTGCTTAGATAGATATTCGGCCATTGCAATTTGGATCACCTTTGTGAACAATCTAATGAACATCTTATAATTTAATCGGTGTATGGGGCTTGATTTCCGAACTAATAATATCAAATAATAATATCAAATAATAATATCAAATAATAATATCAAATAATAATATCAAATAATAATATCAAATAATAATATCAAATAATAATTTCAAATAATATCAAATCATACCATCAAATAATATCAAGTGTATCAAATGTTAAATTTATTTCAACTGGTGATTTAGTTATTCCTCCAGAGAATTGCATGTGAAAGAAAAAGGAATGACAAGCAAAAAAGATGTGCAAACAGGATTACGGCATCGGTATCTGAAAATTCTACGATAATGACATGCATATCAAGAAATATATATGGTTAGTACACAAAAAAAAAATACACCCTGCTTTACAAAATCCCCTTTTGTTTTTTTTATTTAAAAATCCATTCTCTTTCCCTTCTGCCCGTTCGATACAATGTAGAGGTTATTTTTTTTATATATATAATAAATGCCTTTGGTACTTTGCTAATAAACACATCAACAAAAAAGATAAATTATACAAAATCCTCTCTTCTACCTCAGGTTTTCTTTTAAACTCTAGATTTTCAGGGTCACATTTTTAATAATTTTTTTTTTTAAAAAACACGTGGAATAACAATTTCAATTTTGTTTCGACAAGATAAAGTTTTTCACAATGAAAATGTAAGTTATTATTAATAATAATACTAGTATAGAGTAATAGTGCTAGTATAGTATAGTATAGTATTAAACACTATCCTATCTATTATCTCTATTATCTCTATTATCTCTATTATCTCTATTATCTTGATACTAATCTAATTATTATTATTTTTTTTTAATATAATAGCAATACGGGTTATACATCGTTTACTCTCTTTGTTCATCTTTCGATAATATTTCAACACCTTCATACACTATTCATTACACCATCGACCTCCATGCCAGCAACACGTCTTACGTCATTTACTCAATTGGTGTATGTCACTACTACTTGTTTTCATATTGCTACTTTGTTAGCTAATTTACTCAAAAAAAGTCAACTCGAAAAAGCCTTCGTTTTATACGGAACTTGGGTTATATGGTCAGGATGGGCGATGTGTTTATGGCTTATAAAACCTGAGAATTTTCCTGATCCATTAATTTCAAGAACACTTACAACAAGTAGTATGCAAGGTTATTATTACAACTATTATATAAACAAAAATGGTTCTGTAGTTGTATATGATTTAGAATATCTTATAGAACCAATGAATGTCGCCCCTTTTTTGACCCATGGAAAATGGAAATCAACTACTTTGCCCATATTATCTTTTATTCTTCTCTTAGCAATGCGCCGCAACCATTGGGGTTTAATAACTTGGGAACATTTAACTATTTTAAATTCTGCCAAATCCTGGTCCTATCGAACTTGGTGTATCGCTGGATCAGGTGCTGGTTGGATTCTTTTTTGGGAAGCTTTAAAGTTTTGGTTTCATGTTCCTTTCAATTATACCGCTTCCTTTGATGATGGAATCGCTTTATATCATACCGATCTTTCTAGATTCCCCAATTTATTTGATATTCTTTGGGGTAGCATTATCTCGGGAATATTTATGATTTGTTGGTGGAGTTTTTGGACCTTTCAATATCGAGGCGTCGTTTGGAAAAAAGAATTAAAGGAAGGCGTGGTAGTTTGGTCTTCTGATGGGTTCGTTCAAGTTGGTGGTGTTTGTTAAGTTCTTTATTTTTTTAATTACCATTTCACATTTCCTTTAATCACCATTTCGGTCGATTTTTTTAATCACCATTTTGGTCGATTTTTTAAAAAAAGTTTTTGCATCTTTTTTCATACCGATTTTTATTTGGATCAATTCGATTGCAAAAAAAAACAATGATTCACAAAATTCAAATGTTCCTGGTTTATTACTGTAAATTTAACATATTCACAACAAATATTTTGTTCATTTTGTATATATTCACCTTTTTTACATTAATTTGTCATGTCATCATTTCTAAAGGGAAAAAAAAGGTAGTGTTTCGGCAATCAATAAGTTTATTCATTGATTATTTTGTTCTTTATTTTTATTTCATAAAAAAAAACCAAAAGTATCTTATTTTTCAATTTAATAATAATAAAAAGAAAAAAAAAAACTTAATTTTAAATTTTTTTAAAAAATAGTACGCGTAAAAATACGCATATTATAATACGTATTTATTATCGATGTTATTATCGAATATTATTATCGATGTTATTATCAATATGATTATACAAATTTTATCAAGACCTTTTTTTTTCACCAGAACCATCACAAATTCTCATCCAAAGCTGGCATATTAAAATCACGCATATATTGATATATTGATATATTGATATATTGTGAGTTTTTTTTATTTTATAAAATTTTAGCTTTTTATTTAAAAGAATACTGATTGTCCTATATGTTGCTTAATATTAATCAGATTAATCAGGGTTGATAGAATGCAATTACTTTATAATCTATGCTTGATATTCACGGGATAAATCTAACAATAGAAAATTCTATTTCATTCAATCTATCTATGGCACGCATCTGCATGTCCAACAGATCCTTGGATTGCCGAAATTATTTTTATTGAAATAGAATATCGATCATCAAAATGATAGGGTTTCATCATTATATATAAAATATTATTGGTTTGTTTCAAATGTCCACTAAATGAGGCAAAAAAAAGGTATTATCTCATGTAAATTATAAATTTTTAAACTTTATTTTATTTGTTCTACGCACGTAATGGTGTTTACGTAACATTTATTTCTCTTAGTATAACTTGTTTCATTTTTTTTTTCATAATATAAAAAAACGATAATTTAATTAGTTTTGAAATAATTTTGGTATGGCGTTGAACATCACCGATACTTTATGATTTAACCTTTTTTTTTTTTTTTTTTTTAGGTGAGGCTGATTTAACCTTTTTTTTAAATTTCATAAAATAAAAGTCTTTATGAAATAAATAATATATCTCATCGGTTCCATCTTACAGCTGATAAAATGGTGCCATACCGGTTTTATACGGATACTACTATTTTGCATTATAGAAAACTCCATTGCACGTATAATGTACCAATGATCTGGTGTTGCAAATCGCTTTTACTAATCAACCTTACAAAAAGGCGTCAATATTTTTATAAAATGAACTTAAATAGTAAATATTATGAACTTTGCATAGCTTATTGTTATTTTTTGAATGTTTAGACTAATAAATTAAATGAAAATAAATGGTAATATTATTAACTCGAATAGTTTATTTATTTACGTACATACGTACTACGATACCGTATTAATAAAAATGGTATAATAACCGTATAACGATAGTATAATTGAATCAGTTATTAAATTTCCGTATAATTGGTATAATATTTTAGTGTAACAAAGTTAACCAATAGAAATCTAGATGAAATAATTTAGTGTAACAAAGTTAACCAATAAAAATCTAGATGAAATAATTTAGTGTAACGAAGTTAACCAATAGAATCAAAATTTTTTCATAAAAATGAGTGAGCACGTGATAAATCTATAGGTATTATCATTATATATAATAATTATATAGTAAAATAACCCGAAATTTATTATACTGAATAATTTCCAACCCTACATACTATATAGAGATGTATCTCGCGCGAGGTCAAACTAGCATATATTCACAACCTTGATTGTATGTGAGGTATATAAAAACTTTATTTTAAAATATTAAAATCTATAGTAAAAAGTATAAAACCTTATTCCTATACCTATAGCTAAGGTTTACTATATATTTATCTTCATAATATATTGGTTTTGAGAAGCAAATATAGTATTAATATATTTAGAGCAATAATTATTACAATATTAATTTCAAATAAATACAATATTTTTTTAAAAAAAACTATATAAATTTACAAAAATTATTATACTGTATATTAAATAATGAAATTATTGTAATACTCAAAAATAATAAGAATATAAATATTTATTATCTGATTTTTTAGAAAAAAGAGGGTCAAAGAAATTATTAGGAGCTATATAATATGGTATTATTAGCCAATCAAAATTGTTCAATATAATTATAATATAAACAAATTTTATTAATAGTTTTAAATGAATTTTTATTAATATTTTCTTAAATTTTATTATATATTTTATATTATTATTATATATTTTATAGTTTTGTTAGTTTATTTATCATATGCGCTGATCTGCAGAATTAGACCTTACTGATCTGACAAATAATCACATGATGATTGGATGAAATTTAAAAAAATCTACATCAAACATATTTCTTTACCTAAAAACAATAATAAAACATATGTTAACCCATTTCTCTTACCCTAAACTTATTTTTTATTTTCAAGAAGTAATAGAAATTAAATTAGTAATGAGCAAATATAAAAAATATTTAATTATGTTTTACTGTGATTGTATAAAAGAAATTTACACATTATTAATTATAAGTTTTTTTTTGGGGCTTATATTATCAAAGTAAAAAGAATAAACATTTATTATATTTAACTAAGTTAGAAATGACTTTTGTATTATTATTATAAAAAATAAATGTTACATATTATGCAATATTTTAATTTTATTTATTTTTGTATTTGCTTAGTAGTAATAGAAGAGTTTATTAAATCAAATGAGAATTCTTAAGCAGAATTCCTTATAATATAATTTGCTAGTGATTTTAATAGTTAGGGATGTTACTAATCTGTCTGGTTTAGTATAGTCTATTTTGGAGTTATTTAGATCAGACCTAGTTTGGTCTTAAAACTAAGTATGGGCCAAGTTTAGATCGGTCTTAAGACTATAGTCTATTGATCTGAGACTAAATCACATAATATTTCTATCAATAGTTAATAATTATAGTAGTTATTTTAGTTAATTAAACATTTATTATACTATAACAATCTTGTATAAAACTATATAATTAATACAAATAAAAAAAAATTTGAACATTAATTATGGTTAGAATGTATAAAATTTATAAAAAAGCAATTGAGATAGCTGGTTTGACTTCTCTTATTAAAAGATCAAATTTTTTAAATTGAATCTGATTAAATCACATAAAATCAATAAATATTGCCTATTAAGGTCTTTGATCTATTGTATAATTAAGCGTTATTACAATAATTAGAAGATTACAATAAGAGTAATACTTGTGAAATCGCAATAATATCATTTATACTATTAATTTTTAGTTACTAAAAATTCTAAGATACTTTAAAATGTTTTATTTAATTTACATGAGTAATAAAGTCTAAACTAAACGAGTAAATAGTACTATAAATTGCTGTATACAGACCCCCATGATAGCAGACCCACCACGTAGTATACCCAGATGTGAATCATGAGTTTTTTTAAATATCTGGATTGCCTATTATAAATGTAAAATATGCACACTCTTCAAAGTTTTTTTCTTGATAACATGAACTCTCAGCTGCATACTAGACTCAGGGTCTATAATAGGTTTTAAGATTGTGGAATGTAAGAGACCTGGGTCTTGTATATGGTGATTTATGGTAACTATATTTAGCGACTAAAGCTTATAAAAACCAAACAAAGTAAATAAACTACTATAATATAAAAGATCCAGAGTATATAAATAGAAAAAAACTAAAATAGAATAAACCCAATTATTAGACCCAAACCCATAAAATTGGTAAAATGTAACAGACCGGGTCTTATATTCAGCAGTATGTGGTAAATTAATATCTTTGATTAATAGTTGTTCTTTTCATATTCACTACAAAATTAATACGAATAGAATAATATTAATAAGACATAATATAATAGTAATATTCATTATATAGTCGCACCCCTAAGTGTAGGCCTCCGCATGGGCCGGGTAGGGCTAGGGTAGCACTAATACCCTAGCCCTACCCATTTATGTAAGGGCTCGCCTTCCGAGTCCTTACCCTTGCCCTAGGGTTCAAAATATGCTACCCTACCCGGCTATAGTGCCCTTGGGCTTAGATAGTAATATGTGCGCATTTACTGATATATCGATATATAGTAGATTAAATTCAATATCACATATCACTACCAAATTAATTAAATTGATATCGATATATATCGATATCGTCAATTTCGATCACACATCACGTATCACTA